AGCACAGCTCTCTGCAGGCTGCAGCTACTGCATGCTTGCTGAGTATGCAAAGATTACATCAAAAACTTAATTTCTGTGTTTATATATGTCAAAGTCTCAGGTCCATACTGCTAGGCATATGGCTGGCAGCATCAGATGGTGGTTTTGCCCTGTGTAGTCAGTGCAGTGGAATGGTCCATACTGGAGAACATGACCCGCAAAGCGCTGATTAATCCATGTCCTTGATTGGGTTTGGGTCAGAGCTGGAGTCGATGCTGCTATACTGTGGAAAAGTCTGTTTCTGCTCCTGTGTTCTTGGCTGAAATACAGCAGACAACTTCATAGGCAGGGAAAGGTGTACAGCGGTCGGAGGGGAAGGATGGTGCCTGGCTCGTAACGGAAATGAGTAGAAAAAGCATCACCACTGTGCCACTGGCATGTAGGCACAGGGTATTCAGAAAATGTGGTTCAGCAGCATTATCTAATCACTTTCAGATTTCTTTCCAGGAAATTAATGTCATTTTAATGAGTTGAAAATTAACTTAAGATTTCCCTGGCCTTAAAAGTTGCATTGTTTTTGTAACAGGTAACATTTATGATGAAATATTTAAAAGAGATCTGCAGGAAAAATAACTGCCAGTTCTGTTTAACTTGCAGCCTGTTGTGTACATTTTTTTCTTTCACAAGCATTCTTTGTATTTCTTTTTAAAGAGGAATTTAAAATACAGAAAGGATGTTGTCCAAGAATTCAAGTATGAAAAATTGCAGTAATTGGTTGTTGTTCACTTACAATTATTTTTTTCTGAAATTTATAATTTTCTAGACCTAGAAATGTGTTTTTAGAATGCTGGAGTTGTACACAAACACATTATTCAGCCTACGCTGCATGAACGGGTTAGCTGTAAAAAGAAATACTATCCACATCCGTGTTGGCATAAAATATGTGCATATGCAACAGTGTAATGGCTTTAAAGGCTTTCTTCGTATAACTCAACTGATTTTTGGTGGAGTCATCAAAGATAAATTTTTACTAATATCTACAGGCAGGGCTTCAGCAAATAAAAAATCTCATAAATGTGCGGTGATAGAAAATAGAAATATAACAGCCTTATAGAAATAGTTTTACCGTCTGTGTGCTGATGGCCCCTATTCTGTGTAACAACTCTTTTTGCAGTAACTCCTTTGGAATTGCTCACAAAACCCTGAAGTCAAGTCAAGCATTTCTGCCTGGTGCCATACCTCCCAGTTTCACCTAACGACCAGTGCAGTGCGTGAATTCAAAATACCCCGATGAACAACTAACAGGTCCAGTTTTGCCTGTGATTTATTATTTTTTTTTCCTATGGCAATAGTCATCAGATACTCCAAAAATCTTTTTAGACTCTGCCATACTGACAGGTGGGATGCCACGGGGAAGGAGATTGAAGTGTCATTTCTCCATGCCCTGGCAGACTGGAAAGCTGGGGTTGCTGCTGAATGATAATAGTCCGCTGTCCTCCTGCAAACGCTTCCCTGGCCGTCCTGGGCTGTGCAGTCGTGTGTGAGCAGCATTCGGATCTGCCACCATCCTGAAATGTGATTATCTCAACACAAAATACCAAAATAATGATGTGGAAATGTAAAATCAGGAATGCAGATCTTCTGCAAGTAGTGAGTTATTTATATTACAAAGAACCATTTCTTTTTCCAAGGAGATTTTGCTTTCATTTAGCCCTCGTAATTGACTGACTGTAAGCTCCTTAACTTTTTCTCATAATGCAGAGCTGGAATTTTTGCTGTTCAATTTGAGGCCCAAAGTAGAAGTCTTCAGCATAGCTATTGGAAAGCTACAAAATATGTGCTTCTCATAGTAAGGGGGAGAGAGAGAAGGATAGACGTTTTTAACTGACTTTTTGTTCTGAAATTCCTTTTTCCTTTCACACAGAGCATCATCCCCCCTTTTGATAGTATAGCTACCTCTTATTTGTAGGTGCAAATTGTAAAATATCAGCAATGTTCCAGATATGCTACGCTCTAGCAAAATTTTAATCTTAGGCTAAAACCAGTTTTAAGCTATGTGAAAGACCCGTAGGCAGACATTTTAGACTATGAATCTCAGAAGGATACGCAAAAGGGGAAACCTATGCCTCCTGAGCTGCGAGATAACCAATTCTCTCTTAGCAATAAAGGTGTTTTTCTCATATTGAAAAGTTAAGAATTGGAGACAATTCAAAAGTAGTGTCACTGCTAATGGGAGGACTGAACTGATAGATTCGCAAGAAAAGATTAAAGCAAGCTATATCTAGCTCAGCCAAGTAACAGAAAGGTTCATCAATAATTGAATGGTGTCAGCCCCAAAGTGAGAGTATTTAGAACTGCAAAAGGAAAAATAACTAGGAATGACGGAAGAAAGTTATTTAAAAAAAAAAAAAAAAAAAAAGTAGTAAAAGTAAATATATTGAATAGCAATGAAAACTGTTAGACTGAGGAGTAGTTCCATAAAGAGAGCAGTTGCAAACATGAGAATTGCAACTTAGGTTAGCTCCATGGATTTGAATTCCCCAGATTTGTAAATGGATAGGGCATAAATGCTAAAAAGGACGTATTATATTGCATGGAGCGATCGTGTTGAAGGTAGATGGCTGGGATGATCCCTTCTGGCTCGTCAAGCTTTTTCCATGCGCTTTAATTGAGGCTCACTGTGATCTTATCTGTGAAAAGTAATATCTTTGTGGGAACCTGAACTGTGATATTATCTAAGGATCTGTCTGCTCTAAGGTTCTTATATATAAACCACTTCATCACAGATATTATTGACAGTAAGTGCTTTTACCACTTTTATATATTCTCACTCTGAGTTGTTTTACAGCAAGGTAGCCAAATCAAGAGAATTTTTCCTGACCAGCTGAGCAGCTGATAAGTCTCTTTACAAGCACTTAGGTGAATTCAATGCACTAGGATGTTAAAAGGGTGGGTTAGGACAGAAGTGAGTGTCAAAACATAACCCTCTGCTCTTGCCATCACCTCCAAGGTTGTCTCTCTGCATGTAAAATTACTCGTCTTTTGAACTCCGCCCTCTGCTCTTGCCATCACCTCCAAGGTTATCTCTCTGCATGTAAAATTACTCATCTTTTGAACTCCACTTTTCCTTAATTCTTTTGTTTGGAAAGTCCATCTGATCCTTTTCAGGATTCATTCCCCCCCCTCTGATCTTCTACTTTTGTCTCCTATTTCCCTCCCTTGCTGTCTGCACATCATGATTCTTTTTCAAGCTGAGTCATTATCCTTTTAAACATTCCTAGGAAGGGCTTTTCTCTCAGTCATGCTATCTATTTCTTAGCCAAGCGGTGCCTGTAGGAAGATCAGAGTACCCCAAGCTAGGAAGAGCTCTCTGAGTTGCAGTGCCTACAAGACAAGCACACAAGTTGGATTGGTTTTTAACAGCCAGTTCACTTCTTTCCCTTTATTCCCTGGCCATTCAGATAGACCTAAACCTCCACTGAGAGGCAAAAAAAAACCCAAACCACATTGTTGACCATTTTCAGAGCCTGGAGATTAAAACTGTCCCAATCCTGAATTTGTGTGTGTGTATTTTGAAAACAACTATCTTTATCCTGCCAATCATGTCCACAGATAATACGGCTCTCTTTCTGCTCCAAAATCTACACACATCCTCCCTGCACTATGCCTACGAATGGAAATAGGAAATATTCCCTTTCCAGGCACGCAGTGAACAGGAATGTGTCCCCAGCGCAATCCTTCGTTGTGCACTACATCTTGTGAGCAAGCAGCCGGCATGGCTTGCTTCAGTAACTTTGACATGTAAACAGTCTTTAAAAACATAATCTACATTGTCAAAGACTAATGTAAATGATGTACTGACATTGCTTATTTTGATATGCTGACTTGGTTTTGAAGTCTCTCTGGATTGCCTGGCCCCAGATGGCCTTTTTGTGTTTTGTTTACTTTTCACTTGGCTGTCACATATTTATTCCCATTAGATGTACAAAGTCAATGGGTTCAGCCTAGTTTTACAGCTTAGTTGGCTAATATGGCATAGGGAAAGCACTGAGTGAGGCCAAGGAGAGGGTCAGGAAAAAAGCAATGTGATTCTTCAGGCCTAACATAGAGACCAACGAAACAGAAAACTGGTAAAAGATCTGGTAGAGCAGCTAGAGATTATTATTTTTTTCAGAAACACATGATTTGACTAGAAAGTAGAAATTCAGTGAAATAGAGAAGGATTTGTTTAGACTGAATTTCTGTTTTTAAAAGCTTGCTTCTGAATAAATGCTGAAATTTTGTACACTTCCCATATATTTAAATGAAAAGAAAATTCTGGATTTGTTTTAAATGCGAATGGATAGTAAAATGTTACTTTAAAAGCTTTTCAATATAATGAGTTGTTTTAGATTTATCTTAGTCAAACAGTTAAAATGGCTTACATGATCTTGCTGTACAAATGTCTTTGAAGATGTGTGAAAATGCTTCATGCTGAGAAAAATAATCCCCGAAAATCTAGTTGGCATGATCTTGCCCGCACTCATGCACAAAGCCCAAAAGACAAATGGATGTTCATGACATCTATGGCAACCTGAAGCATGACTGAAATGTGGGCCATCTTGAATGGTGGCCTCCCATCTGGAGAGCCATGCCTCCCCTCCCACGCTTCTCCCAAGGAGAACACCTACCTTCCCTCGAAATGGTGTTTTTTACAGCTCAAAGAAAAAGCTTAGTGGGGGATTTGGAGTGGAATTTAGCATTGATGAAGGGAGCCTGATGTTTCCTTTGTTCCCTGAAGAGGGACAGTACAGGTTTCCTGCACGGCACTGTTTCACTGACGGCACGTTGTTCTCGGATCGCGTTTCTTCCATTTCTGCTGCTGCTGCAAAGCACCGCGTGGCACCAGTCAAGATGTTGGGCACCCAAACTTCACTTTGTTTAAAGAACAGACTGTGCTGAAACTGCCACATTTTTAGGTGCACTGACCTCCTTTATGACTTGATGGTCCATAGTCTGAACTTCTCCTCTGTTTACCGCAGGTGAAGTATGGGAACTATGCCTTTGTATGGGACGCAGCGGTATTGGAGTACGTGGCCATCAATGATGCAGACTGCTCTTTTTACACGGTGGGGAACACTGTTGCGGACAGAGGATATGGGATCGCACTGCAGCATGGCAGCCCCTACCGAGACGTTTTCTCACAAAGGTAAGGGTTTGGAGAAAGAGGAGCAGATCCTAAGGGAAAGTCTCTCTCAGCTCTGGACCCTTCTTTTAATTTCATTTTCTGTGAAGGGAAAACATCTTGTTCTTGCAATCCACTTCATTTCTTATACAGGCATTCATTTCCTCAGAGACATAAGATTATTCACCTTTCTAGAAGCTGCATTAAAAATACTTCGAGTTGCTCTTATTTGAATTGTTCTTGTTCTTCTGGAAAACATTAACGAGATAGCCTCAACTGCATTAGCAGGAAAATGAGGAAAGAGTCGATTCATTTGTTATAGAGGGACAGCATAACTCAACCCTTCCTGTTACAGAAGCCTTTTCTTAAAGAGAAAAATGTAAACTTGGACCTTGATGGGAAAACTGAAGGGGATGAACAAGAATGTTTGATGTTTCAGTGAAAAGACCTCTATTAGTACCCAAAAGCTTAGATGCTTATCCCAATGCTAATCGATCTCTTGGGCTACAAAAGCGAGATCTCTAGAGATGTTTCTGGTACTGTGTTTCTACTAGGATCAGAAATACTAAATTAGTTGTATGTATTGTGCCTTTGTGTTACTTGTGCTTCACTCTAGTATTGATTCCTACATCAGGATGTGTGTGAAATGTAAAAGACAACCAAACATTTTAAAAGTGTAATCTCTGCGATCTGGCTTTTAGAAGATACGGGCTAATCTCATGATCCTTCTTCATCTGAACCTATTCTCTCAACCCAGTTTCTAATGGTTTGTGTTCAATGCACGTTAACAAATTTTTATGGTTGCTGTGATGGAATTTTTTGTGTGTTGTTGCTATAATGAGCACGAACAATTACGTCATGTGAATGTGCTTCATTCAGGCTATTGCCTTTGCCTTCAGTCCACAGAATGAGGTAGAGGGAAAAAGTAGTCAATAAGTGACAATATGCAGATCCAGAGGAATCACTGTCTGCTCATACATACTGCACGAACAGAGAAGGCTTGAATTCTTTGAATCTGTTCTATGTTGGGACTGATTTGGCTGAATTTTGTGCTGACGTAGCAGTAACATGACACAAAATTTCACAGTGTCAATGAAAAATTTAATTTCAATGAAACATATATATGCTTTATATATTGCAATTAGCATTATAGGCAATTATTTCATGAATGTTTTAGTATTCCAGCCATGACCAGGCTGGCTCTGCTAAAAAATCTCTGGGTTGGTAATGTTCGGGATCTCCATGCAGAACAAAGGAGTAAAATGTCTTGCTGGAATCTTTCTAAGAAATGCTTCCATCCGTTACAGATCTCAGATGCTAGTCAAGGTGTTAAGTCATCCTCTTCAGAGCATTACCCATTTAAGCTTGCACACAAAAATTTGAAGACATAGGGGAGTTTCATAGACTGCATCTTTATTACTAAATCGAGTGAACCTGCCAAGTGGCATGGCATGGCTCATGCCCGCACTGATGAGCACTCTTCATCCCCGTCGGCCCGCTCTCCAAGCCAAGGTGGATGTATCCAAACTGCCACTTAGGGACTGCCTCTGACACCATTGATATACATGTGGTAGCTCTTGGTACACAGGGGAAGTGCTCACGGCTGGTTCTGGTAAGTGATTATCTTCTTCGACTCAGTATTCAGTACCTGGAGAGGCTAGGTTACATCTTCTTCTGACACACTGCCTTTAGCAACCTCTGGATCATTGGTCTGTGCAGGCCTGACATTTCCAAGTACAATTTTATTTCATAACAAAATTTCAGCATTTCAGTGTATTATTGTGTCTTGAAGCTGTAGGGAAGCAGAAAGAAGCATAAAAATTTGCACATATATAGCTCTTTTTATCTGAGAATCTTCGAAGCATTATTAGCATGTCTCAGTGGAAAGTAAATGCCATTTCTTTTTAATGCTTAGGGAATCCATAGCATAAGGAGACTTAAATTAATTCCCAAGGTCAGGTGTTTTCCCCTGGTGGAATCAGGGATCACAGGCACTTAGATTTCCTCATTTTCCATTTTCTGCTATAGTTATCAGAGTTCAGGTGGGTGAAGAAAGGGATTATTTGTGAGATATTGGGCCACAGGAGGATCTGGATGGATACACAAAACTTAGCACCGAGGAGAAAGTAACTCATTACGTTATCAAGAGTAATGGTTGAACAGAGAAATTGGAATTTGCTTGGAGTGATGCTGCCTACTGGAGAATTTAGAGAGCCTGAGCTATATATTCTGAAAATGTGTGTGCTGCCCCTTAATTTTTTGTTTCTGTATTATGAAAGTATATTATATTGCACTTCTAATTATGTCCATAAATATAAATTTAAAGTTTGAAGCTGTGAAATGCCATATAAGAAACAAACACATGAAAGAGAAAGCACGCTTACACGGTAGCTTACGAGGTTTTGTTCTAAAAACCCTTCAGTAGTGTTCCTTATGATTACTTCCATGTGGTTTTCACAAATCATCCTTACTTTTCTTCCTAATGAAAAGGCTGAACAACCTTCAGCTGCTGCAGCCTGCATGCTAAATAGAGAGGGAAATGGATTTCACTGTATAGGATTAGCAAATGTTCACATGAATATTTCACATGCTTTAATGCAGTAGGGAACTGGATTGAAATATATTGGCATTTCTTGATCTTTCCCAAAATAAATATATTTATGTGAAAATACAGGGCTTCTCTTTTATGAAATTTCATATAAACTCATAAGCTGCACTGTGTTAAATCCCTAGGGTGCAGCTGTAAAAGGTCTGGCAAGCTTACAGGAGGTTTTGGTCTCAGTGCAGCAAGCACGGGCATGAGTTTAAGGCTTTTCATTACCTTTTCTGAACATTCAGGCAATTCCTGGAGAAACAGGAACACGGAGAGAGAGAGAGGTGTGAGCACCCATCCCTTCTTTCCAATGCTTTGGGGCACGAGTTGCAGTCGAGATAGCACTGTGGTAAAGTTTAGGCGTTTGGGATTTCCAAAAAACCTCTCTGTTTGGGATGTCTGCTGTGTTGTTCTCCAGGGGATTAACACGTGCAAAATACTGTGGCCTTTGGGGACTGCAGCGATAGTCGCCTGCTCTGCGAAGTATTCCAGTCTCTACGGGAGTTTGCCCATCAGTGAGGCTGCTTAAGAAAGGCATTAAACCTGTGATCGGTTAGAAATGCTGAGGTGCCATCAAAACACATCCAGCGCCTTGCAAAAATTAAATTCCCTGATGTCGTTTCCCCCCGATAACTGATCATGATGGTGTGCCCCTTTATACCGCAGGCAGTTTGTGAGGTGCTAAAAAGAAGCCTGAAACAACCGAGAACGTTGTGAGAACCGAAGCCATGGTGACGGGCCTGGTGGAGTGAGCCTCCAGTTGCCAAGGAACCAGAAAGTGAAAATGCTTATATTAGGCTACAGCTAAATTAACATAAAAGGTTCAATATGTACTCGATTTTAAATTGATTGCAATTAAGCACGTATCATATGGGAATGTGCTGCCATTGAAGTAAACTTGCTTGCAGTGGTTCATAATGTGTTTGTAATTTTACAAGTGTAAGGTGATGCCTGTGCCCTGTAGAGAGAAGAGTGAGATTTGAAGTGATGCAATTTAAAATCAAAATTATTCTTACAAATGCAAGTTTGGGTATAGTGAAATATTAGTGGAGACTGTAGCAAAACGCACATCACTTAGAAACTCCATATACATTTGCTGAGCTTTTAAAAAATTAATTCCGGTCTCACCGCAGAAGATGAAACCCAGTTCAGGATTATTCTTTCCAGACTCAAGGAAACCTAACATTTTGGGGATGAGCAAAATGTTTTTGATGAGAAAAGTTATACCATTCAAAGTGCAATATCAATATGTCTTCAAAGCAGCATTTTGTGCAGGTACAGTTTAGTGAAGGAGAAGGATAACCAACTGAAAGCGCTGTAAAGAAGCTGGTCTTTGAGACCTTTCTTTTTCGCATGCAGAAAATCTCTTCTAGGCCAAAACAAAGACATGAGCAGCAGTGAGTGGTCTGACTGCAGAATGAGGTTGGCTTTTCGTTGTACTGGGATGGCAAAGCAGCCAGCTGGGCTCCCACGCAGCGCCTGGGACCACTCTACCTAACGCTCTCTCTGAAAACAGATGCTTCAAGTCCATCCTGAAAATAGGTGTGTGGCTGTGGCACAAATCATATAGAAAATAATCTGGGTAACATTTGAATGATGGACCTGTCGTAGCATCCTGGCAACTTCATTCACATGTTGCAGATCTTAACAAACCTGTCTGGCTGTGCCATTAGGCAGCCAGTTGATGTGCTCAGGAAGATAGCTGTCCCCTTTTCTTTGCCAGTAACACTTAAACGTCTGAGCACCAGCAGCCTCCAGTCAGCGTGTCAGTTTTCTCTCTATATGTATTTTTCTTTCAAGGTAATGACAGGGGCTTTAATAATAAGAACTGCCAAATTTCCTAGGAGAGTTTGAAGAGGATGTGTCATTTGGTTCATGAGGAACGGTGTGCTGACACTAAATTTGACACCTGTTAAGAAGTCTTTTCAGCCCTAAACTTTAAAACTTCCATTGCACCCCTGGGAGCTATAAATATAATTGCAAACACTTTTCAGAGTGTTTCATAGGATGTCTGTGCTTCCTACAGCACAGCAGTGACGGCTCCGGCTCTGCGCTGGTGGTTGGTTTTTGGTGGGGGTCAAGGAGGGGGTGGCCACAAAGCACTTGGATCCCACTCACGTCCCCGCTTCCTCCGCTGGCTGACCCTCCTCTTCTGCACTACAGTCCTGCCCACACAGCACGTTAGAGGCAGAGGGAGAGGAAACACTAATTTCATACTCCTCAGAGGGCAGCAGCCAGCTTTTCACTTCAGTAACGAGGAACTGTCAATGCCCAGCACCGCTGAAAAATCAAGCCGTAGTTGTTTTGCATTCCTCGTATCCCAAGAGCATCCACGTGTGTTCTGCCCCAAAGACTTCACTTTTAAATAAAAGGAAACAGTGACAATAGGAGAAAAAAAAAAAAAGGCAAGATTGCCCTCAGAGCCCACAGT